GTTCCATTAATATCATTTTGTGTATAGAAAATATCTATAATATTTTCTAAATATTATTAGAAATATTTTCTATAGAAATATACAAGATTATTATTATCCCAATTTTAATCTTTATATTTTATACTACTATAATCTTTACTAGCATAAAGATTGTGGTAGACTCCGGCGTTGTTCGTGTGTCAAAGTTGGAGACCGGACGCTTGAACGGTTACGTTTGCACTTTCAACGCTCTTCCTACGACTTCTTCGTTTTTACAGCTTACGGAGAAAGGTATAAATTTCTTACTCACTATATGTTTTAGTACGTGATTCTGGGCAAGATAATCATGTTAGGATGTTAAAATTTTTATATTCCGCTGCCTATCCTTGCATGGTTACCTTTCACATTATTCACGTGTTTACTCCTCTCTCTAGCTTTAAATTTCTCTCATTTTTCATCATCTTCTTCTTCATTAGATTTCAGTGAGTGTTGAATTCGACCCTAACACCGCCATCACTCCGAATCATATAGCCAGATTACCTTTCATCCTTGGTGAAATCTTCTTATCGCACAACACCCATGCAGGCAACAATGCAACATCAATTTCGCCCAAGCCACTCCAACACATGCGCAACATCCACATCTAACTCCCCATCCGCCTGAATGACTAAGCCAAGATACTAATAAAACTTGTCAACATTGAGAACCGGGTGAGACTCAATCCTTACTTCCACTCCTCATTTTGTCTCTCGACCACTAAAACACATTCTAAGTATTCAGTGTTGATCCTACTCGGTTTAAATCCGTTGGATTTTAGTGAAAGGTGCGAAATACTTTTTTCCATACTAGTTAGAACTTAAATAAATTAACTTAAAATTAACTGAAGTTAAACTTTGTTAACCGCAACTTAAATTTATCACTTTCATTAGATTAATGATGTAGATTTATCTTAATAAAAATGTTAATATTAAAAATTTTCGTAGGATAAAACATTTTTAAGTATCATCTAAAGTGTTTAATACAAAACAATATATTTTTATTTTGATACGATGTATTCATAAGTACACATATATACTCAGAACTTGGGGTACACCATAACTTTGCATTAAGATTTTGATAGTTCATACTAACACAAAACGTTAGTGTAAATTTTTGCGATCGCACTAACAATTATATAAGTGTGGGTTATCAAAATACTAGCGCCAAGGAGTAGTGTACAAAAATACCGTAGAAGTAGCATTATTATTTTTCATATCTATAAGTAGCATTATTGACAAGTGGAATTTACATAAATAACATTTAAATATAATGACTTTGCCTAAATTGCATCATATGCATTTTTTTTCAGTGTAGCACTTTTAGTCATTATCCGTTAGTCATTATTTAAATAAATATTAGTCATCACTGGACATTATTTTTCCTTCAAAATATTCTTCTCCTTTCTCCTTCTGGACATTATTAAATGTTATTTAAAAAATAACATAATTTAAATGTTATTTCAGAAAATGACTTAAATTTAGTCTTATTTAGTGAAAATATTTGTTATCATTTGGTACTGCCAAAAAAAAATTTCAATACTCCGGATTTGGAAGGAGCATTCTAACGGATCGGCTGAGACGCGGACCAGTCAGTGATCATGGGCCGGCGACCTTGCCCGCAAATGCGTTGACCAATGCGAGCGCATTACTGGTCAACATCTTGAGAGCCGCAACTTGACCTTGCACGTCAGCGTTGACGCGGGCCCCATCGAGACAGTTGTCCTGATCCGTCTCGGCGGCGCTCATCCACGTCTGCACGTCGCTCACCAGCTCCCGCGTCGCCATCTTCTTCTTCCTCTCCGCCGCTCCGCCGCCGCCGGCCAGCCGCTTCATCTGCCGGAGCGACCTCCGCATCTCGTACAGGGAGTCCCGCAGGTGGCCGGAGCACTCCTTCAACGCCGTGGACGTCGAGAGGTTCCCGACGTAAGCGGAGACGGCATCGGCTTTCTTCAGGCTGATCACGACGGCGACGTGGGCAAGCACGGTGGTTTTCTTGTCCACGACGGCGGCGTAGGGGGAGAGCGACTCGCGGCATAGCTTCGGGTAGAGTACCGTGGTAGTGCTGCACAAGGTGGCGACGAAGCCGGTCTGGTCTTTCGTCGGGGCGGGGCGGGCTGCGGCGGACGACGGCGGAGGTGAGTTGGCGGCAAGGGTGAAGAGGAAGATAATGGAGAGTAAAAGAGAGTTCTTCATGATGGTTGTATATATAGCTTTGGTCTTTTGGTGTTTAAACAAATTTTGCTATTAATAGATAATTGGCCGGGGAGATTAGTGACAATGATGGGAGTTTAAATACTAGTGAGAGGGGTTTCAAAATTAGTTTTGAGCTTCAATTTCATTAAAATAGAGTTTTGTTTTTCAAATATATTGAAACAATAAAAAAAATTGTAACAAAGTACTCCCTGCATCCTGGAAAACTTTTTCAGATTTGACTTTTGGGAAGGGAAGATATAGAAATTTATCCAAAGCGAAATGACAATTATTAAAACAAGTTGGGCTCTAAATATACCAAAATGAGTAGAGGCTATAAGGTAGTTATAATAAGTTCGGATAGTTTAAAGAAAAGTAAGGACAATTGTGTCTATTAGGCAAAATTGAAATATTTTTTGAGATATGTAGGAAGTGAAAGTTGATATGTTTTAAGGGACGGAGGGAGTATATTATACTTATCAACCATGTTAGAGTATGTTATACTTATCAACCATGCTAGAGGTACCTAATGAAATGTCTCCAAAGTATACATCAAAATAATACAATATCATTTCGATGATTTACACTTACACAATATACTAGTGCGATCAAACTATTTGTATTAACATTTGTGTCAGTGTGAACTGACATCCAAGCATCACACTGGTACAAACTGAATGATTTACAATTCGGGGTGTAATTACTTAATTTTGTTCTTATAACTTTTGACTTAAAAATGTACCGTTCAACCATTTGACCAATCAATGTACACATTTATATGCGGTAGAAAAGATTACTGCGTAAATACCATTTGACAAAGATATTCTAAAATTATGAATGTTTTTTCCAATTACTGTACCTTTTTTAAGCTAACTGGTTTCAGTTTCAGCTCAATCAACGGATGTGTTTTTTCGAACGGGGAAATTAGGATTTTTCTAAGTGAAATTTACATTGAATAGGAATAAAACATAAGTTACTTTTTTATTGTAGGACTTAAATTTTTTTTATTTTCTAAATAGGACTTAATAATGACTAGAGAGAAGAATAATGTCCAAGTGATGCTAGACATTTAGTTAAATAATGACTAATAGAAAATTATCAATGGTCCTACATTGGGAAATAAAAACATATGTTCCTATATTGAGAAAGTCATTATATTTTAGTTTTATTTAGATAAATTACTCTTTTTTTATAAAAGTTATAACTAACTTTTAATTATGTTACATTAAATTAAATTGAACTTCTTAATGTTGGTAAAAAAATAGACGATTATCTCCTCTTTTAATTTTAAAGTTGTACTAGATTTTAATAGTTTGAGGTTGTGTTACATTAAGAGATCGATACAAATAATGATATCCACCTTGTGGTTAGAAAAGTTGGTTCTATATCTAATTGTACAAGATATTGATTCACCTATTTTTTTTCGAGCACTACTTTTAATTTATTGAATTGATGAATTTAGATTTTACTAAATCCGGCCAAATTTGGATATCCAACTCACCTGTAAAATAGTGGGCTTGGACTTGACATTTAAGGATAAGGGTCGAGCTCTGGCTTTATAAATAGATGCCCGTGCCTAATGAAACAAAATACTACGTACATTTTATATATTAGTTCTTCCTTGATATATATATATATACACACACACACACACACACACTTCTTCTGTCCCAAAAAGAATGGGACGGTTTGACTTTTTGGGAAATTAAAGAAGGATATTTTGGTATTGACTTTTCGAAAATACCCTTGATGTGATGGGTAAAAATAGGATGTGATGGGTAGATTATTAGGAAAAAGGTATGATGTAATAGGTAGGGTATGAAAAAGTAAGGGGTAAAAGTGGTTTTTTAATAGAAATGTAACGGACTTTATGGGACACAGTTTTTTCTACACGTAACAAACTTTTTGGGACGGAGGGAGTGTGTGTGTATATATATATATATATATATATATATATATATGACACCAACAATTAAAATATTCTAATTAACTATCCCTATCTATTTAAAATGACACCAATCAATTACGGAGTAAAATTTTAACTTTAACGATGGAGATTATTTTTAAATAATTTTTTAATGATGTAAATTTATTTTAAATATTTAATCTAGGGAGGGAGTAATACACTGTGCAGCGAGGTGGTGGGATTGAAATAGTTTTCAACCCGAAAATTATGAGAGTGTTTTGTAATTCTTCACTCAAAAAGAATATTTGGACTTTTTATATTTAAACTCATGAACAAATGGTTTTAAATTTGACCCCATCGCCCATGACAATTTGACTTTTGATGAATTAAATTAACACCCGATTACAGGTTTCAGCCGTTGATTAAGGCATTATTCCGTTGTATGATTTGATTGAAATCATGAGGAGTCCAAAAAAAGGAAAAATTGAAGAGTAAAATTTTGAAAATATATCAAAATACGACTTTTCTATTTTTATTCTTGAAATCGAAGTTAAAATACATTTATATTATCAATTATGACCATGTATATTATCAAAAAGTATGGTAAAATGCACATGTAGTGCAAATTCTTATTTATGGAATAAAAACATGAAATTTTTATTTTGATACTTTTTCAATGTTTTAATCTTATTTAAGGCTATTTTTTTCAATGAGTTACTCTAATGTAATTCTACCATGATTGAATAATGAGTTAATCCACTTCCAAATTAGTTTAAAGTAACGCGGGTTTAGTGCTTACATAAAGACTTTTTAACTTTTACTCCGTATGTTAAAAAACCATCAAATCAATGGGAAGAAACCACCCTTCTCTTTAGGCGAACTCTTGGGTGGTTTTTAGGTTTATAATAATTTTATGAACATTAGAAAGATGTAATTATGAACTCATAGAAAATATATGAAAATATTCATAATTAATAATACAAGTCTTTGTTTTATGTTGATGATTGAAAAATTTGTAAACAAATTGAAGAGAGCCCAATAGCCAACAGAGAACTCGTTCAATTTAACTAATTATTTTTATTATTTACTTTGTATCACTTATTCTTATTAGAATGAGATCAGATCAAGTATGATAAGACCATGTCAGATAAAAAACAACTATAAATATAAGTACAATTAGATCACACCTAATCAATCCTTAATTAACAAAATACGATCAAATCAATCCAATCAGACTAGACGGAGAGAACAAGTTTTGAGAGAAATGATGTTTTGGACCGAGAGATGATTATTGTGTAGTTCCAAAGAGGCAACGCTTTAGCTAATATAAGAAATAATAAAGTTAACAGGATATATGATAGAGGAATTTACCTAAATAGCACTAAAACATAATGACTTTCCTTAAATAGTACTACGTATGTTTTTTTTCTCAATATAGCACTTTTAGTCATTATCCATTAGTCATTATTCAAGTAAATGTTTGCTATCACTGGTCATTATGGACATTATAAAGTGCTATTTAGGAAAGAAAACAATCTAAGTGCTATTTAGAGAAATGACTTACGTTTTAGTGCTATTTAGTGCAAATATTTCTATATGATATTATAATTGTTTACTTTTCTTATTATATTGTTACCTACTTCTTTATTCTACTTTGGTTAAGATTCTTCATATATTCTCTATATATACTCATGTAATCCTTAATATTTAATAATACAGATTATTATAAAATTGTATAATGGCATTAGAGTTACGGTCTTTCTCTTCAAAAAGTTACCTCTTTTCTTTCGACCGTACGCCACCGCCGGTCTTCATCATCAACGTTCTATCACCATATATCATGGCATTGTCGTACCTTATCCCGACCCTCTCTTTCTCCCCAGATAATTGTGTTTGTACCTAACAAGCATCGTCTCTGATCTTATCTTTACATCTCCAAAAAATTCGTGTGTGCATTCGTTTGTATTTCTTCTAGAGATCGAGAATATAGAAAGTGATAGAGAAGTAGAGAATGGCCCACAAGGCGGAAGAAAACTCAGCAAAATAAATGTACTCTCAAACACATTCTTCATGTGGTGAAAGTCTCTCTCTCTACTTCTAACGGCAATCCTCACAAAACCGTCTTTGTCGGCTCCATTCTAATACTTGTGCTCCAAGCCGATCCTCGTTACTGATGATCAGCTTTTAGGGTATATTAGAAATAATAAGGATAATGGAAAATAGAATATTATTATATACTCCGTATTATGTAGTTATTACTACCTCCGTTCTAAAAAAGAATTCTTACTTTGAAAAAGTGGAAAAATAAGGAAGTGTTAAATTGTAGTTGACTTCCAATTTGCCCTTGATGTGATTGGTAAAAGTAAGATGTGATGGGTAGATTATTAGAGAAAAAGTATGATGTGATAGGTAAGGTATGAAAAAGTAAGGGTAAAAGTGGTTTTTTAATAAAAAATGGAAGTGTTTTGTTGGAAGTAAAAAAAATGAAAGAAGAAGTGTTTTTGAGAATAGAGGGAGTATATTGTTACCATAATTTATTATTCTACTTTGGTTAAGATTCTCTATATATAATAATATAATCATCATTATTCAATAACACCAATTATTATCTAATTTTATCAGTAACTATGAATTTAGGTTAAAGGTTATCACTCTCTGACTCTCTCTTCCTATTTGGCCAAAAATTCAAAATATGTTTCATGTGAACTTAGTGTTTTAGTGGTGTGATAATTTTGACGTAATCGATAAATTTTAAAGAATTTTTTTGGTAAAAAATAACATGTAGGAATAGTTATGAAAAATTTGAGGCCCCATTTAATAATGCGCCCTTTTAGAAAATAAACATTGAAAATAAGCAAATAAATTGAATAAATTTTAACCTTGTAAATAGTAAACGAGAAGATATTATTAGACGAAAATATTGTTGTTTCAAGGGCAATACAACGACTCGCCTCTACATTACATTTTCTGTATATATATATATTCTTGAATCCCTCTATATTATTACGATTAAAGATCTATATTATATGATACATTAACATTCATCGCACATTGTGACAACGCCAAACTAGTGTGGATGATATTTTTACACTAAACCCACTTTTATAAGTTACATTATGATCAATATATTAGTATGAGTGGATTTGTATGAGATCGAATTTTAATGTTATGAAACGATATTGACTTCAATTGGAGCACCATAATTATTTCTATATATGGTGCCCCAATCAAGCTAATGTCTTTTCATTACAATGAAATTCAATCTCATGGTAATCGGGCAGCCTTAGTAATATAATGCCCAAAAGGTCCCTAGATTAAATTGGGTGTGAAAAAAATTGGTCATGGCTTTGCAACCTTATTAGCAAAGGCATTAACCAAAGCCAGCGCATTGCTGGTCAACTGCTTGACCTTCACAACACCGTCGTACACGTCAGACCTAAGGGACCCATCTGCCACGTTATCGAACCCGTCGACACACGTGTCCTCATTCGTCTCGGCCGCACTCATCCACGTCAGCACGTTGCTGAGCTGGAACGCCAAGTCCTCGGCCGAGCCGCCGAGCTGCTTCATCTGTTGGAGCGAGTCTTGGATCTGGTCGACGGAGTCGCCGAGGGTGGAGGAGCAGTCGCGGATCGCCGCCACCGCGCGGTGCTCTCCGCCGCCTTCGGCCAATGGGGAGAGGTTGTCGTTGCCGACGTACGTGGTCATGCTCTTGGCGTGGTTCAGGCTGACGCTGATGGCCACGCGCGCCAGCCTGGCAACGTTACCGCGCACGGCGCTAGCGTACCCGGAGAGGGAGGCGTAGCACGTGTCTGGATAGAGAGTGTTTTGGCAGCTCTTGAGAATGAAGTCGGTGTAGGGGGCGGGGGCGGAGGCGGTGGTGGGGTTGGCGAGCGCCGCCGTGGAAGGGGGTGGCGCGTGAAGGAGTAGTAGTGTGAAAATTGTGAGGGGGGAAATGAAGGAAAATAGAGGAGAGGGTCTCATTCTATATTTCTATTGGTCTTAAAAAAACGACTTTATACTATTGATGGGAGTTTGATTTAAATTAGACAAAGAGAATGGGATGTGAGTTTAAATAGGAAAACTCTCTAAGGTTTGGATGCTTTTATATTACTCCCTACAAGTGTGAATGGGTGGTTCTCTCGGTCTTTCCTAGTCATCTTTTTCTAAACTTGGTGTTTAATATGGAGTATTATGTATTTCTTGCCTCTTAAAACTATCTTTGAATTACTATTCACACAGTTAATCTTAAATCATTTTTTTAACCTATTTTTGTTGGTTATTTGATAAAATAATATAACCTAGTCACATCTTGTTTTGTTAAACTTTTGGTATAGTTTTTTAAAATAAAAAAAATTATTTTTTAATTTTATGTCTGCGATCAAATAAATTGAATTGAAAATAAAGTCGATCAAACATATTAAATACAAATGGAAAGATGATTTTAGGACGAAGGTAATACTTTATTTGTCCCTAAAAGTTTTTTGTTTGACTTATAGAATTTTTCAGATATATGTTTGTGTTTTCTTTTTATAAAATTATTCGACCTGACAAAAAATAACTCGGTCTGTTTTTGACTTGAAAGCACTAAGTTTTGAACATAAATTTTATTGACCAAACTCGAAATAACCCGCTGAAAATTGGTCAAACTCGATCAAATCCAAACATTACCTAACCGGCCCGCTAATGTAAGAGTTCTTCAAGATCATATACTTTACACTGAAATATAATGTTATAAAAATAAGGTTATAATTATATATTTTTTCTTACTGTCCATTTTAGTTTATAATTTTATATTTTTGGACAAAATTTTAATGATATTGCATAAATATATCTTACTTTTTGAAAAAAATTATGCACTTTTAACTCTTTATATTGATTTATATACTTAAAAATTACTTCAGAATTTAAAATAAAGTAATACGGAGTATAATAGATTCAATACATATTTTTTGATATTTTAATTTAATTTAGTGTGAAATGCATATGTTAATATGAATTTAAAAAAACCAAAGTCATAATCCGTTGAGTCGACCCGAACCCAATGACACTGGGTCATAAACATACAGTTCTCAACCCGAACCCGAAGTGACCAAACTCGAACACAACCTGACCGACCAATTTGTCAGCTCTACAAATTATTATGTAATGTCAAAATAAAATGTGACTGATAGAATAATAGTAAATAAATCTAAAAGGATAATGTCATGTTATCTTCTAACTTTTTTCCACTTATTACTTAATTTTATTAGAATCAGATGAAGTTAGATCAAAAAATAACTTTATATATAAATATATCTAGATTATATGTGAACATATGTCAATCATATTAGAATCTTTCAGATCAGGTGAAGAGAACATGACCTAAGTAGGATATCAATTACTTGAAATTAGGGTAGCACTTCAAGGAAATGCAAGAGGATGAGAGGTTGGGTTTGGGGGGGTGTTAGTGAGAAGTGGATAACTATAGGACATTGGTATCATATTATGATGACCTCATTTGAAGATAATATTATCAAATAACATTTGCATTATGAATAACTTCTAATGGTGTGATTTAATTTTGAAAATGTTAATTCATGCAGATCGATTCCATGAACATTATTGGACGAATGATTTTGTGCAACAGGATCCCGGATTGGATTCAATTAGGATTAGGATTCCTAATCTCACTCTCCATATATAGCATATTTAAATAGACCACCCATGTTAGGGTTGAGAGATCCGAAATTAATCAATTAGACAACATATTTTGAGATCATTTATTTGTTCTAATATTAAATGGAAAAAGACTAAAGTAGAAAAAAATATTAAAAATATATTAAAATAGAACTTTCATATTTTTAATCGCGGAATAGGAGTTAAATTCTATTTACATTATCAATCATGATCATGTACATTATTAAAAAGTATAGTGAAATACACATGCACAATGTCACATTACCACAGTGTGAACTTCTATTTAGAGAATACAAACATGAAATTCTTTTTTAGTAGTTTCTCTATATTTTACTCGTATTTAGGGTGATTATATATCTTAATACTCTCCCCATCCCTCAGTATTCGTTCAGTATTCTTTTTTGAATCATCCTTCAATATTTGTCCGCTTTCCATTTAAAGTAACACAAATGAAATAAAAGGACTATTACAACCCTCTACTTTTCTATTCTTTCTTTGCATGTTCATTCTTGGTGTCCAGCGGCCTATAATAGGCTTTAGCTTCCTGATGGACAAGCAGTGCAAATTCTGATGAACAAGCAAGTGCATTTTGGACATTTTATCCCTCACATTGGTTATTGTGTCAAAACTAAAGTGGACAAATATTAGGAGACAAAATGAGTATTAAGTAAGTTTTGTAAAATGTTAAAGCTAAACATTAAAATTATTGAGTCTGTTTGGAAATAGCGTTAGAGATTAGCGTTAGCGTTTTGAATAAAAATTTAACGGTGCAAATTACTTTGAAAACGCTACTCGTAGATAGGCTTTTCAAAACGCAAACGCTATTTCCAAACAGACCAATTATCAAACAACTGTTTAACAATATTTCTTCGTTCTCTAATTTATGATCTTAAATAACCAAAATAATAATTTTAGGATCTTTATAACGACATCCAACTACTCCTAAATGTAAATTGGTCAATCGGGTTTAATATATTATGGAGTACTACTACATTACACGTTCAAAAGTCAACAAAATGTAGTTGACCGTGATTAAAGAGACAAAGGTCACAAAACATTTAATTTAGATTTAATACTCCGTAGGTTTCTCTGTATTTATTTTTTTCGAATGTCATCCATTACTCCCACGGCTCATTGTCAAACTATGGGGAAGAGGGCCCACTGGGGGAGGGGTGGGAGGGGGGGCGGGGTGTAGGGACGAGGTCGGGCTTACGGAGCATTATATTCGTCTAAATTTAGCTAGGTTGCATGATCACTATTTACATTGTTAAATTGAAATTGCTTTTATGTATACTTATTTTTATCAATCATTTGATAAAATAATATAATTATGTCAGTTCTTGATTCGTATAATTTTTTTATGTTTTTTTATAATATACCGAATACAACTTTAGTTTTTCATTCCACACAAATTTTCAAATAATTTGAATTAAAAATAACTTCAGTAAAATATAATATACTAAAAGAAAATATTTAAATTGAGACGGATGGTGTATTAAGTAATTATCTCAAACTCTCTTCCGGGAGGCCCGTTGCATTTTCTTCTTTAATTGAATATGGGCTCTTAAAACACGCGGACTACATGATATGGAGCATAAGGAATCATTATTATTATCGGGCCGAATATCTATTTTTTGGTTTACTTTTATTGGATCGTAATTTAGGGCTTTGGACCATTTCTTCTAGGGTGGATTTCAGAGTTCCGTTTACAAGCCTACTCCAAGTTCGGTAAATTAAAATTTGTTTTAATGTTACCTCTTTTGAATAATTGAATGAGTAAATAAGGTAGAGGATTGGATTATGTGAATTAGAGCTAGCAAACAATCGGTCACGTCAGGTTCGAATTTGACACCATCGAGTTCAAATTATTTTGAGTTTGACTCTTTTTATATTATGAGATGTTTGTTCATGATTATGTTGCTTGGTCTCGAGTTAATTCAACGAGTAAGGAGATTTATTATTTAAATTTTTAAATTTATATTAACACATGTATAATTAACAAAATATTAAAATAGATTGATTAGGCAAGGTCATTCTAATATACATTTAGTTTTTGAGTTATATGCATATATAGTCCCTATTGTGTTTGATAAGTGGGTGAGTTGTTCTCGAATTTTTAAAAATTGTCAAATAATCCATGTGGTTAAACAACCATAGCATAATTAGTCCTTATATTATAAAATTCGTAAAATGTACACAACACGCGCGTATTATGCAAAGACATCGATCATGTAACAGTAAAAAAACTAATATGAAATTTCAATTGTGATGTTTAACTTTGAACCATAGTACAATCTATTTCATCTTTTAGTTTAACTCTTACAAAAAATTCCTCGTTTCTTCTGCAGTGATATTCTTGAATCGTATTACAATGTCCTATTTGAGTTCAAAATTATTCTATTTTTCAAGTAACTTTATTTTAAAGTATAATCGTGTGAGAAAAAGAAAGATAGAAAAAGACCATTTATTGCCTTTAACCACGAAGACGAGAGTAATTTCATGAGATAAGGTTCTTTTTTGTTACATGCTTCATATTTTCATATAGTACGCTTATGTTATGTGTACTTTACGTTTTTCTGAAAGAAGGGACTGATTATGCATTAGTTCTTTGACCAGAGGGACTATTTTAATTTACAACTTTTAAAAGTACAAGGATTATTTACCTACTTATGAAAGACCACAAAGACTATTTGTGTATTTAACTCTTAATTTTTTATATTTTATGAAAAAATATTATTAATACAATACAAATTATAAATATATATCGGAATTGAAGTATATAAATTCTAAAAGATCTCTATCACTTTATATTACAAAAATATTAGGCAAATTTCTGCATGGACCTCTGGTCCATAGTTGGGGTCCACAACCTATGTTGGACCTTCATATATTGTAGATAAGCATGAGTTGTTCATCGTGTTTCTAAATTTAGATGTGAACTGTAAACCTTCTTATACTTTCCATGAGCTTAAAAATGAATATTTTCTTTATTTTTCGCAAGAGGCCTAATTTTATTTATAAGATCGATGAAATAAGGTCTATAAAATAAAAACCCTTAGACCGTGAAAGAATTTACCGATAAGCATCTCCTAAGTATTGAGACTTTAAAAAAAAACTGATGAAAGTTAA